CCTACGTTCATGATCTAGAACGGTGTACACACACACACACACACCCGCGCACACACACACACACACACACACCCGCACATTTCAATGGGAATTCCCTGAATTCAAAGGCTGCTCCCTAATCGAGGTGGAAGAAGTGCTCACCAAACAGGCTCACCATTCAAGACGTCACAGACCATGCCAAGCCCTCCAAGCCCAGACTGCACTTTCGCATTAGAAATATCAAGTTAAACGCTCGTGAAGAGCATTGGCGGCTTTCAGCTTCAGTTACGAATTGGAAGCTTGGTCTTTTAGGCATGTTGCTCTCGTTTAAGCAGTGTCGCAGCGAGCGTCTTCTGAAGCCCAGGTGATTCCAGACCTGGTTCCAGATCACGCAGCCCTGGCTATGAGCTTGGATGGCAGTGAAGTGTTGCCAAGTGATTTACTTCAAAGTTGTTGTTTGGACTGGCACAGGCCACCAGTCGAGCTGTACCCAGGTACACTGCTCAATGGGGTCGCTCCCGTTTTCTGCGCTTGTGAGAGCTTCCTTGTGTCAGGATCTGCCATTGCGTGTGGTGCCGAGCTGAGACTTCCGGTTTCTGCCGTTAACCGTTAGCCGGTGCTTCCGAGAAAAAGGCATCTGTTGTGCTGCCTCGGCGCGGACACGGCAAGGTGAAGCAGGGACAGCACGTTTGCAATGCGAATGCATGTGCAACCGAGGATGTTACCGATCCTGAGCTTTCTCGTGCTGTTGAAGGGGATCCCATGAGTCCATCTCGCAGCGCGTCTCACATGATGTCTCACCTTCGACATCTTTCAGCATGTCTCTTTGCAGACTGGTCAGCTTGCCGAGCATGCAGAAAGACGTTTTGGGAACACCAGGTACATGTCAAACCTTGCAGCAACGCATCAGCACAGCTCGCACTGGCTCGCACCGCCATTGACTTGCCGTACCCTGCAGGACTTCAGGAATTGCTGTAGATCACAGACCATGTCTTGCATCCCAATGTCTGATGCAATATGATGCCAGAACCTCATACAGGACGCGCCAAATCCCTGCCAGAGAGATGTGCGATTTGTTTGCATCGCTCTTCGCCCTTTCTCGAGCTCACAACTGGGTGCGAGCCGTGAGTGCACTGGAAGATGCCTTACGATTCAACCTGCATGTCAACGACAAGAGCCTTGGGATTGCAATTGCCGCATGTGATAGGGCCTCGCTTTGGCAGCATGCCATTGCCATCCTCAGTTGTGCCAGAGTGCCAAATCTGATATTGTGGAATGCCACCATTAGTGCGTGTTCGAGAGCACGCCGCTGGGCGCAGGCCTGTGCTCTCTTGGGGAACGCTTCCGATTCAAAGCTGCGCCTGGATGCAATCAGCTTCAACTCTGCAATGCGAGCCTTTGATGGAACCGGCTCTAGCACTAGTCAATGGCAAGCTGGAGGCCTGCTGTATGAGCAGATGCGCAAGACCCGCATATACCCCAATGCCAGATCGATTAGCGCTGTGACACGACTATGTGCTCAAGGGAATGCGTGGCATGCAGCTCTTGCCTTCCTGAACGATGCCAGAAAAGCTTCCATTTCCATGGACACAGCTTGCTACAGCTCTGTGTTAATTGCATGCGCGCGCAGCCGTCGATGGCAGCGTAGCCTGCAAATCTTCTGGGAGAGTGTGGAGACATCCAACGTCTCACCAGATGTGGCTTCCTTCAATGCTGCGATCAGTGCTTGTGAGCGAGGTGGAGACTGGAAAGGTGCTCTTCATTTGCTTTGGAAGATGCGATCATGCGCCCTGCAAGCTGATCGGGTGACCTTCAACGCTGTCATGAGCGCATGCGAGAAGGGCTTTGAATGGCGCTTAGCCTTGAGGCTTCTTCATTCGCAAGCAGCCCAAGGACCGTGGCACGTTGTGGCACCTCTTCCGCTTGTACTAAGATCTTGCAAGCAGATCTTATTTGCGTAAAGGGCGCAAAGGGCCTGGGTCAGACCAGGGAGCCCTGAGTCCCGGGCCAGACTCCGAGAGCAAAAGGATTTTTGGGGGACCCGAAAAAGAGATAACAGCATGTCTCAAGCAGACATCATGCCTATGTCTAATATGATGTATGCTTATGCTGCTTCTTGGCCTTCGTTTGCACTGTGGCGCTGTGCCTCCACTCCCAGGGTCTGGCTTGTGATCCCCAGTTAAGCAGCAATTCCTCTGTCCAAACCATGGCCCTTGGTTTGTGGGAGGATCTTCACAAGCTGCTGAAGCACCAGAACAGTCGCATCAGGATGTTGCAGATGCTGTGACCTTCACAGCAGTTCTGGCTGCCTGCGCTAGGAGCTCAATGTGGCAGGATGCTTTGCAGACCCTGCAGAGAATGCATGAACAGCACATAGATCCAGGACCACTTCACATAGCCTCTGTGCTTGACGCCTGCAAAAAGCTCTCACCGTCTTCATTGCCTGACCAAGACATCATGTCCAGTTTGGTCACGCTTTTGCAGGCATCCGTGGAGGTCAAGCTACGGCACTGTCAAGGACTCCATAAAGTTGAGGAGCTTCTGCCGGTGCAAGCCACACGTCAGGAGACAACAAAGCATGTCATCGCTGGCATGGAGTGTTTATCTCGGCATGTGTGGCCAGATGCAGTGGAAGGCTTGCTTCGACTCTTTGATGAGGTTTTGTACCATCCCGTGGTCCAGCTGTTAAACCGTCTCATCTCCGCAGCTGATGACACAGAGCGTGATGCAGTGCTTCGCGGTGGTCAGTTGGAGGACTTGTACGGGCCACTTGCGGCAGCATGCTTTCTTATGATTTCTTGGGTGCCATGACCCTTTAAAATCCTTCACGTGAAGCAACTTGAGTAGTCTCGGCCGATATCAGATGAGGTTAGGCGCCCGCTGCACCAGCCGAGCGCTGCTGGACCTTGGGCTCAGCGGGCTTCCGTCTCCTGCTTGGCGATCGAAGGCACAGAAGCTAGCAAGACAAGTCTTGCGGCAAAAGGCCAAGCAACCCAATCTTTGGCCCGAGCGCCCATCAGCACAAAGCCTGGTGGTTTGGTGTGCCTACGATTTACTTGATGAAGATGGATCGGTCTGGAAGGAAGGATGCGTGGTTCCTTCGGCACCAGCAGACTCAGCAGACCAAGATGACGATCTTTTGCTACCCGTCTTTGTGGAACATGACCGTTCAAGACACGCAGAGCGACACGCACTGCTAAAGATAATCCAGAAGATTCAGCGGGAAGGTCGGTGTTTTCACCAGATTTCTGGGGAGATCTGTCTTTACGCAGCGCACACCCCCTGCATCTCATGCCTGGCAGTGTTCTGTCAATTTCGATGTTTGTTTCCGCATGTCCGCCTCAATGTCCAGTTTGATGATTGGTCCACCACACGGCGGGCACTCATTGACCTGGATCAGCGATAATCATTTCTGTTCATTTGCAGATGTTGAGTTTTGGCGCGCCTGCGCATCAGGTACTGTAACGGTTCTCATTGTGGGACTGGCCATGCCAGGAAAGAAAACCAACCGTGGATCTTCGCTTGCCCTGTGCATTGCAGTATATTGCAGTCTGAACCCTGTGAAGCTACTGCTTGCATACGTATCTGGCTCTGGTTATGCAATATCTTCACCAAGTGATAGCTGGGGTGCGTGCTGTGCAGCACCTAGCCCCCAGGCATACAAAGTAGTCCAGCAGACAATGCAGCTCTTGTTGATGCAAGGAACCATATCCGTCATTCTTCTCTGTTCGTATCCTTGCGGTTCTCGATACGATTCTTGAAGCTCTTGATGAACTTGAGGCAGCAAGGCAGTACTCTCATTTAACGCGCTTTGGAGCATCCTGCCATGTCAAAAGACGATGTGATTCTGAGGACATCCATGTGAGATCATGTGAGCCTCACAAGATGCCGTCTGCAAAATGCGCCTTTCTGAAGGAGTTTCAGTGTCCCCGCGAAGGCGTCCACAATCAGCTTCACTCTGCCGGAAAGGCAGCGCAGCGACCTCCCGAAATCTTCCTGAAACAGTTTCTTTGTGCACACATGCGTTTCTTTTCAGTTGGCGGCTGATCGAATGGCTGGGATCTGGCGCATATGCAAATGATTTGACCTCATCATTCTGAGTGTTGAGTTATGTTGAGTCTGCAACCCATCCCATTCAACTCCCAGGCTGTCCAGTGTCTTAGAGTCCTCGTTTGGCGAGCGATTCTCGTGATGAGGTCGCCGCCTTCCAGACTGAGACTGGCAGGGAATACGCTGTGAAGAAGGCACCGTAATTCGCAGCAAGATGATTGATGGGGGAGGGGGGCGGTATGTTGGGGGGGATGCATGCCGTGGGCGGGGGTTATGGTTATGCGGTGTGTTTGCTTTAAAACTTTAGCATCTGCATTATTCTCAAAATTCATGTGTCCCTTTTGGTTATGAACTGCACCTACAGTAATATTCAGGCATACCGAAATGGCGCACCCACCGTTGGACCGATGCATATGCTGGAGGTGTTGGTAGCTAAAGCATTTTCTCTTGGCTCTGAGGGCTTACAAAGAGGTCTACATCTACAGCCTTCTCACATCTTCTCACGCTGCAACTTTACTCTGCTGCAGTGTGCGTGCTTTTTATTGTCACTGCAAGGTGGAACGAGTGTTTGACCATCCAGTACTTGCGCTTAGAACACTCCGAGAGGCCCACAGAATCCCAGGAAAGCTGTTTCTGAAAATGGCGCTGGGCACAGGTCAGGCTACTGGCCCATTTGCAGCACCCCAACCTGCTGCACTTGCATGAGCTGGTCCTGGATGGACCGGATTTCCAGGACGCGCGTTGGCATTTGCGGTGCTTTCAGCATGTTCCTATTTGTCTGTCAGGATGCTTACCTTTGCTTGGAGAGGCCGTTTGCATCTTCCAGTCAGAGATAGTTCCATCACACCAGCCCTGTGTGAGGATGGATGGTGACTTGCATGTGCTGATCCATGGGTCCAAAAATTATTTGAGTGACCACCAGGCGCGCGCTTCGCTTGCATCGTAGAGACATTCAGCTTCGCTCAGATTTCTTCAGGTCCAGTGTGTCGGTTCCCTGGCCTGGGATTCTCTGACACTGTCCCAGTGGGTGCGCATGTGCCATTCGACCGAGGTGCTTTACCAAATGCTTCGAGGATTGCTTTGCCTTCGCTGCGCGCATGTGATTCACCGAGCTAAGATCTCAGAATATGTGCAATTCAGCATAAAGCCGCACAGATTGGTAGAGTATGGTAGAGTCTTTTTGACAGATTCAATTGGCCACGTTAGGACTTGAAGCCTGGCAACGTCTTGGTGCGGGCTGGGGGCCAGGTGCGAGGACTGTAGTGCAGATCCTTCTGTGAGAAGGGAATGCATCAAGAGAGCGGTAGGTAAAGATTGCAGACTTGGGCATGGCTCGCGGGATCGACTCGAAAGAGGCCAGCGTTGGAGCTATTTGGGCAATCTTGGCACACGGCACCAAGCTCTCTGTATGCTCATTTCTATTCCAAAAAGAGTCATATCACCAAACACTTCCATTTCATTAGGAGCGATGTGTCTCACCTTTGAGGACAGCCATGACGATATGATGCTCACGGAGTATGTTGTAACACGACACTATCGGGCACCCGAGGCTCATCCAGTTTTTTGTGTTTCTTTTTGTTTGTAGGTTGTGGATCGCCGCCGAGGTAGTGTTGACCGCTTCCATGTATACGTACGTTGGACACCAAACGTGCTTTGCAACCACGTGACACAATGAGGCGCTGTTGCTTCCAAGGCCGTCGACATGTGGTCAGCAGGCTGCATCCTCGGCGAGATGCTCACACGAAGGTGGGCTTGCTATGAGCCTCTTGCTGATCTACTTGTACAGCTTCTACATGTTTCTACTCTCTCGGAGCGAGGTGCATCTTTGAAGGAAAAGACTCCTTAGATCAAGTCAGGCAAGGGCATGCAGTTCAAAAAATCAACAATGCATGATGATGCGTGGATTGCGTTGCAAATCTTGCAAAGGAAGATTCTTGGCACTTTGGGCTTCCAGGCTCCCGAGGTACACAGTGCACGGTGCACACCAGGCCAAGGTGTTCAGTTTTGAGTGCTTTTCTTTCGTCTCCCAGGACTTAGACTGGATCCCAGACTCGAGCCCTGCCAAGAAGTTTGTAGAGATGTGTCGTCAGCCCAGTTTTGCCGCAGCAGGCGTTGATGCCTCATTTGACCTCGATGCTAGTTGGCGAGGTAATTCTAAAACAGCGCAAGCAAGTCATGAGGCAGTGCGCAGGATTATTCACAAACATGCAAAGAGCTCATCTTGCATGAGCCAGGGCCTACGGAACATCGTCTCGCGCTCCGGTCAGCCAACCAATGTTTTGGCAGCTGACATGACGGTCAGGGTCTAAGACAGGTTTTGAGCAGTCAGCTTGACAGACCTTGACAGCTTCACAGGTCCAAATGCTACGCCTGGACCCATACAGGACGTCGTTAGAGAGGATGGTTTGAAAGGGTAAATACACCCTCTAGAAGATAAGACTCTATGCAAGAGAGTAGAAGGCTAGGCGCGTTGGTATTTTTGCATCTGGGTTCGGTGTTCCTCTGCGAACGAGATAGGGGCCGTGGATTGAACGAGATAGGCCACTTTCTTTTGCAATAAGAGCCCAGTACATGTTCCAACATGGCGGACGAGCTCAGCTGATTTGTCAAGGTACAAAACAAGATTGAATATAAGACGAACGAGATGAAGGGCCATGGATTAAAAATGCTGCGCATGGCCCAGGTATGCCCAGGTAATAAATGAAGGCCGGCGCTCACATAAATAAATGTGTATATATATATATGTATATATATATATAAATAGATATCTCACCGAGCTTTGCGGCGCTGAGTTGTTTAGTCACCAAGGCGCAGGGCAACAGATTTACAGTATTTGCTATCGCTTGCTTGTCCCGACGGGGCCGACTCTTGGCGATGAATCGAAATTCAGAGCGGCTCCGGTAGGACCTTTTTGGCCGGATTCTGCGGCCTGCACTTCACACACCTTCACACATCATGATACCATAGTGAGTTTGAGGTCTAGCGAGGCAGGACGATCAGGTGAAAGGATTTTACAGCTTCATTCTTGTGAGTTAAGCAGCATTTTCCTGGAGTGCTTTCGCGGCATCGCTGCGTTCTGTCTTACTGATTCCTTTTGCCCTTCAGATTTCCGGTTTTTTCTCCCTCTACTACTCATTGCGCGGCATTGCCCCGTGAAGGCGCCTGACGGTGGAAGATGCTTTGGAGCATGGCTTCTCGGAGCCATATTGATACATATATACATATATTGATTCAAGTTGCAGCTTCGTAAATCAGAGGGTGTCAACACCGGATCCTGCAGTGCCTCATGATGCCCTTGCAGCACAACTGCGCGTGACGCTGCTTCATGATAGCTGCTGCCAGCTTATGAGGTAACTCTTGATTCTTGCATGTCTGTCAGAACTGCTAACAGACCAGTACCGAAAAAGATCAGCGGACATTCTTGCCTGCTTGACTTGAGTTTCTGCTAGCTGCGCCGAGGCTATTTGTCAGCTTTCCAGGCTGTTGACGACCAGGAAGCAGCAGACCAAGCGAGAAGAGAATGCCACAGCTTGTGAACTTCGGAAAAAATACACGAAGTAGACGGCATTGTCTTAGCAACTTCACCAGAAGGTTGCTGATGCAAAAGCAGTGCCTGCCATGGCCACAGCCCCGGGTGTACCTCATGCAACTCTGCTGGCACATCTAGCACCAGCCTCAATATCTGCAATATTCTACAATTGCAGACTCTTCTATGGCTGTTTGGATGTTACATGATTGCAGCTCTTTGTCGTTTTGAGGAGGTGTGATGAAACACTGCAGGACTGGTCCTTCGACAAAGCGCTTTGCTTCGATCACCAGACAGGGAAACCCAAGCCGTTTGAGGTGGCCTTGGGAAACTTCTATAAACTTTTGTGCTTATTGCCTCTGTCGGCAAGGCAAGCGCCTTTCGGCGAGCCTTTCACGAGGTGCCATAGCTTTACGAACACACCGATTGAACTAGCATCTCTTTGAGTCTGTGCTGCATGTCTGCGCATTCAGGCCCAAGGCCAACTGCAAGGTGGGTGCGACATGACAATGCTGAAGAATGAATCTTCAAATCCCTCCGCTGGCCGAGGCAATGTTCCGAGGTAGCCGGGAGGCTGCCTGAGGAAGCATTTTCAATATTTTGAATGGTTTTGGCTTCTGATGGGTGCAACTCATCCACTGCGATTCTGTGCAGTCGATCCTGGGCTTAGGTGTGCCACAGACGTAGGTTCATAGAGGTTCGGGGGTTCAAGCTTGCCTCCTAAGCTGAGCCTAGTCTAGTGCAAGAAACGCAGGCAAGCTAGGCAGCCGGTGGTGATGTTAGTTTGGTTGCTTGTGCTGAAAAAGGCCACGCATTGCTTTGTGATAGAGCAAGCCCGGATGCAGAAGTCAGCCCGAAGCCTATTCTTTTGGATGATGTGTCCTAGTGCGGCGGCATTGGTTCTCAGAGCTGGAGGAAGGCCACATGCCAGAGGTACATGCAAGGGAGAGCGAACATGAATGATCGATCAAATCCCCACGTGCATAGAAATGCTTGGCTAGCGTTCCCGTTGGTAAGAAGTAGTTGCTTCCTTGCGGCCCCGGGCAGATGTTTGAGGGCACGCGATGCATGGGATGCTCTCGCGGGCTGCTGCTAAGCCTGGGAGCTCCTCGTCTTTGTCGTCGTGAGCTGCTGCTCTGCTGCTCTGCTGCTCTGCTGCTCTGCTGCTCGTCTGACGCAGCGCTGTCTTTCCTCAGGTCAGCAAGCGTCTTCACCGACATCGCTGACTAAGGAGACGCGCGAGATGTCTGAAGCAGTCTGGAACAGTCTCGACGCTGAAGCCCAGCAATGGCCAGCATTTGATTTGTAAGGAGTTTGTGCTTCGCGTCGGCTCTGTCGTACAGGCTCCTCTTAGCTCAGCTTGTTCTGATCTGAGATACCTGGGACTACGATGCCAAAGGTGCTGCCCGGACGACAATTCCCCTCCTTTTCATCTGGGGATGTGGGAGTGGTTAAGCGAGTGGATGAAGAGGCTACTCTCTCTTTACTTGGGAGCCACACACAGTGTTGAAGCATTGCAAGGCTCGAACTTGCGACGTGCTGTTTGATCATGGGGCCGACAACTCAGAAGAAAGCTTGTTTTTGCACTGTTTGTTGAAGCCAGTGTGTCATGTTGCGGATAGCTTAGTAGAACCCCAAGGAGGCCTTGCATGCAACATGAACTCAAGTGAGCTCAACGAACTTCAACAGCAAATCACTCTAATTTGGCTTTCTCTGATATGCGCCTCTCATGAAGCGCATGCTCCGAGCAGGGAGCAGGTGCTGAGTCATCGCGCGTCTCGCGTTCTTGACCGCATGTGTCAAGCGAGTTCGCAAAGCGCGCGAGCTGCGTTGGGCCCTGTCGCAACTTAAAGTGCTCACAACATCTCGCATCGACTTGCTTTCAATTCTGTCAACCGCTCATCCATCCAAAAAATCGAAAACCCAAGACGGAAAGAGCCGTTGACCTATGTTGACCCTCAGGCCGGTCCATTGACAGTGGCAATGCGTCATCTCAAGCTTCTCCAGGCAGTTTCAAGAGTCGTTTCTCCGAGTTTTGTTTCTTTTGATTTATCTGTTCTTCCTCTTCTTGTTTTTTGTTCCATCTTCGAAGGACTTGGCAATGCATGCGATGCCACATGAGGGCTTGATCAGGCGCCCGATGCTTGGTTTTGTTTTTTTAGCGTTTTGCAGATTCTCTTTGGAAAGGATGGAGGCCTTGCAGGGCAACACCAGTCCAAAGGCAGCATCGTAGAGTCGTAGAGATGCTTAGAGCAGTCGGAGAGCGGGCACACTTGAGGCTGCCAGAAATTTGCCAGCTGACCTTGAGGTCCTCTTCTCAGAGTATCTTTGAAAAGCATCTTAAATTAACAGAACCCTGTTTCATGTTAAAAGCAGGTGCTTGTGGCTTCGCAGCAGCGGGCTTTGAGCTCTCTCGAGGCAAAGGTGAAGGATGGAATGTTCAGCCTTGCCACCTGCAGCTGACAACAGGCCAGACTCTCGGCATGTGAGGCCAGACGATGTCATGCCTTGCCAAGCATTGATCTAGCTCCGGTGTAGATATGCGTAGATAGTCACGGAAGGCAGCGCGTAATTTTGACGCTACCGCGCGCCGCTTGGGCCTGGCTTGAGGTGGGGGCGATTCTGGCGGAACCTCAGAAACCCCAACCTCGACCTGCGGGGAGGAAACCGGTCTCTAGACACAGCTGGCGACCCTGGCAGTCCCCACAGGCCTACACGCGGCAAAGCTAGCCATTCATGGCAAACAAGCACTGCAAATAGCATGTCCTCAGACGTCAGAACCGTCACCATGAGTGGTTGATGGCCACACATGGAAGCCCATGAAGAGCGGTCCTTAAAGGACCCTACTGTGGTCAGGCATTGTTTTCGCTTCGGCGCATGCGTAGGAAAAAAGGGTGGTGCCGCTGGGAGAGGGGGCACGGTCCGGGAAGGGCCAGGGGCTCGGAAACGCCAAGGGCGTTGGCACTTGGAGGAGATGCGGCTTTGAATCAATAGTAGATGTCCTTGCATCAGGTCTTGGCATTTTTTTGAGCGCAATGCTTGCACGAACGAGAGCCTTCGAGTCATTTGATAGCATTTGGCTGACGGCCTTGCTGGCGGACCGTTGTGATCAGGCGGTTCTGTTGATTGATGCTTGAAGTTATTATGCCTGTGGACAGGATCTGCGGACAAAAAGAACTAAGAGAGGGCTTGCGCACGTTGCCAGCCAGGCTGCTTTGAGTGTCGAGGATGCCCAGAGCAAGCCAGCCAGCAGACTGGTCGCAGCACGGGTGGCCGCACTTGAAGGAGCCCATCAAGCTGAGGTCAACGAGCTAAGACGTGCCACCTCGCTGCACTTGGACCATATAATGCCTGCATCAACGCCGCCCACAACTTCTCGACACGCATTGCGAGAGTAGTTTATTCTTGTTTGACCAAAGGCTTTGAATGAAGCTGTCGGTCTTTCACGAGAGCAAGACAACCTTCATCGAAAGCACCGAACATCTGGAAGGGAGATGGAGCAATTATTTCAAAGCCTGGAGCAACGTTGCCAAAGTTTGCAAGATACTGCTCGCAGGTTAGAGAGTGAGTTGTCCGGTTTGACAGCGTCAATGAGCAGCAGCGAGCGGCGCGCCGCAAATCTTCAAGACGTCGTAACTTCTTCGAGCACCGGTTTGTCGGAGATGGCGGCCTTGTTGGAAGCCCAGGAGCGCCGCACAGTGGACCTTGCACAGGCCTGGAATGCATAATACAGTCATGGTACGCACGCGTGCCGTACAAATCAGTAATTGGTCTAGGCCAGACCCCACACTCCTGATGCTTCAGGTCGGGCAAAAGTTCTCGAAGGCACCCATAAATTGATAAACGCTCAAATCTGCTTGCTCGAATGATAACTGTAGTCCCAGCAGCTCGCAGCAGCTACAGTACCACAAGCCACAGATCCGCAAGCACCAACTCCTGAAAAAAGAGGCAGCCGAAAGGATCCGAGTGTCACATGAGTGAGGCATAGTGAGGCAAAAGCAGGGTGGCCAGATTAGAACCCAGTAAGCGGAGTGAAATGATGGAAGTGAGCAAGATGCAGGCAGACGTGTAATCAATCCGGAGCGCAATTTTCACGAGAGACTTACACGATGTTTGGCTTGGACATGCTTGGACCATGCCTCAAGCATTCAGCACAGCTAGTGTAAACGCCAAAAAATCAAAAACTGCTTGTACATGTTGCAGGCTCTCAGCTCCGCGAGGAAGGAGCTTGTGGAGCTCACAGAGCGCCTCGACCGCTTCGAGACTTCGCGGCACAGTTTTCCCGAGCGCCGTGATCGAGAGCTGAAAAGCCCAGCTTCGACAAGAGCGATGGATTCACAGGCCATCCGAGTCCAAAGCGCCGAGGAAGCTAAAGTGATTGAAGTGTGCTGGCATGTGCTTGCTCATGTCAAGGAGTCTGATGCCATTTGGAAGGCCCCTGCTCCTGCACTGTATCCACATCGCGCTGCCATATTGTCAGCTGTGCCAGGCCTTGCGGGAACTCCAGGCTTGGGGCGGCGGCAGCACTCTACGCATGCAAAGCAATTAATTAAACGAAATGACAAGCGAAGGAGCTCGTGGTCCACGAGTCAGAGCACCGGGCAGCAACAGCCTCGAGTTATCTCTCCAGCTGTTCAGATGGAAAGTTTCCAGACACACAAGGCCGGCTTGCGCGAAGTGCTGGGAGTGGTTGGGCAGGGCCCTTAGCATCCAGGTAATGGACTAGGAAGTCAGTAGTCTTGTATATCCTTGTATTGAATCAGACTGTTTTTTTTGCAGGCATAGTACAATCTTCTGAGCGCAACCATCAAACAAAGCTACTCCAGTTGATCAGCGACCAGGTGAAAGGCAACTCAAGTCGGGCAACGCCACGACTTGTGCTCGCTCCAGCGATGTAGTCACAGCTTGCTGTAAGGAGGCGTGCGCGCGTTGCCGTTCCTGCATCATCGGACCTCTCTCATCACGAAAGCTCCCCGGAAGGGAGCGGCAAAAAATACCTCGCAATGTGAGCCGTGCGCCTAGGGTTCTATGGGGGGGTGCGGGCGGGGGGAGGGAGGATTTTGCTTGGTTTTTTCAGCTACCCTGTATCATTGGCTGGATTTTCTCGTATTGGCTCGGTGTTTTTTTTGAGCTAGATTCTTGGGGGGATCTTGGGGGCTCTTAAGATCCTGGAGGGTTTTTAAGGAAGGTTTCGGTAGGTTCGTTTCATGAGCAGTGAGGGGTAGGCTGCGAACTCTTCTGGTTGTAAATCGTCTGTCTCTGCGCGTCCTATGTCACCACTCCTGTCCATGATTGAGCTTTCGTCCCGGCCTGTGGCTCTCAATTGGAACGCAAGACGTGATAAGGGATGATAAGGGCGTCTACATGGGATTTGAAGCTCTTGGAATGCCTTCTGCGTACGTGGAGTGCGGGGTGCGTTTTGCGACGGGGGAGTCTCAGGGCAGTTGGATGGCTTGCAGTTGGCTGCCTTTTGCACGCATGAGGTGCCTTAGTGCACTCAATTGTAGCAGCAAAGACAAGCCCCTGGTCGCAGTTCAAGACAAGCTGCACATCTTCAGGAACAGCCAGTGCTTTCAATAAGAGCATAGGCCGGAAATATTAATCATTCCAACAGCTGTCCCAGACCACGTCTGGGTCGTGCACGCGGAAGCCTGCGGAGGATGTCTGCGGAAGCGTGAGCAGAATGTCCATCATTCCCATTTTGCTCGAGGAAGATCCGCTGAGGAGCTCCGAGCGAAAGTGGACTAATTAGTTGCCTTCATTTTTCTTTTGCAAAGACACAACGCTGCCAATTAAAGTCCGCACAACGCACACAGCGTAGGACACTGATATACGAAGTAGTGCTGCAAGCTGGCACATCGATATTCAAAGATTTGAAGATGTATTCGCGGAAGGTAGTCGCTGAAAACGCTCGAAAAAAAATTGCACCAGATGCGAAGCTTGCGTTCAGGAAGTTCCTTGCGGAAGCCATATTTTCCACAGCGGACATTTGAGGAAAAAATATGTGGAAGGGCTCGGCGGAAGGGTTTGTGATGGTTTCATGGTTCACGATTTCCATTGCAACCGTGGCGTTAGAAGAGCAACCGCCGTTCAATTGAACAAGAGGGAAAGCACTTGCCTCTTCCCGCCCCATGATGAAACTCCTTGGAGCAAATTTCAGTAAAGGCAGCCGGCTAGAGGATCTGCCGGCTAAAGATCAGTGAAGATGCTTGTTGCAAAGTTTTCACAGCTGGCATCTCTATCACAGTCTAGCAGAAGCTGTTAGGGTGAGTGAGGCGCAAAATCAGATCAAATCAGCGTCTACCTGCATCTCTGGTCAAGCAGAGAGGACGCAGCTTCAGAGACTCCGGCTTATAGTTTTGAGCTGTAAGCATTCCATCTCCGTCTACTCTCGACTTGAAACTTTCCCACAAACTGCGCTGCGAAGTACTCCAGCGAGATCAACCGAGTAATCACGCTGCCTGATCTATGCTTCAGGAAAGATGCCGAGCAGCTACGAAGCGAGCAGACGCGACATGAAGCTGAGATTGAGGCCTTGTTGCATGGTGTCAGTGGACGGCTTTAGCAGGATGTAACATACTTGCAGGGCCGATGCAAAGCAGAATCTCTCAAAATCAAGCACCACATCGCCGAATCGCAGGCAAGCTTGTCAAATCTCTGTCTCGTGATCCTTCGGATACTGGGTCTGGTGCATGTGCAAGGCTCGTGTAGTTGAGCATGAGAAACAGACCAATCGTCTCGACAAGCGTTTTGGCCTTGGAAGCGTTCAAGTGCGCAAGATTCCGCAAGTCCATATCTGCCCTGGCCTTTTCTGAGGTATGGACACTTTGTCTCAGGCACTTTCAGCGGAGCGCAATGCACGGATTGAGGTGGAGATGGCCAGAGCACCGCAAAACACGATAACGCGCTCGTTAGTGACCCACGGTTTGGCGCCGGCGATTTGTATTCGAAAATGAAGGTTTTATGGTGGTCTCGTGCCTTGGTTTGAACATTGAATCACATTTTCGGTGGTAATGTTCGGAACACTGGCTCTTTTTCGGGATGTTTTTTTCGTTGCGATTTGTTCTTCATGCGAATTTTGGTTGAACAATCGTTTCCCGTTGTGGTTTCTTGCTCGTTTCCAGACAACGTCTTTTCCATGTCTTCAGTTGCGACTGCAATGGTGCAATTAGTGGTTTTCGTCTTTATTTTTTAATGAAATCTCTTTCAGAAAATGAGTTTGTCACTGTGGTTTGATGCTTCTTATTCAATTTTTTTCGCAATCTCCGTGAGGTTTCGGAGCCTTTCTGCTTAACTTCTTTCTCTTCAAGCTTCAGAGAGACAAAATGAGGTTTTCACTGTGGTTTCATGATTTTCGTGCTTATTCTCGAATTTTGCAACCGGGCTTCGTCCCTGTTCTGCATGTTTCCACAGTTTGGAATTCGGAAGGCTCAGATACTTTCCCTAGCAACCTTGAGCATGGTCTCGCATCATGTCAAGTCATGTACAAACGGTGCAAGTAGTGATACATGCAGCAGACTGAACTTAATTCGTAGTGGGGGATGTGGGGCGGGGTAGTTATGTTGGTTGTGCCATGCGTTCCAAGCCTACATACTTTTGCACGGCTAGCGTTGGCAACCTCTGTTTTGGTATTGTTGCGTGACGTGGGCTGTCCCTGCCCGGCTGCTTCGCTGGTGCCATTCTGGCGGGTTCCGGCAGGTGAGTTGAAACATGTTTTCAAAATTACTCGGTGTGAATATTTGTCCGCATGCTTTGTTCAATCCTGAAGCACAAACTTGGAGTGTGCGATGCCTGAAAAGGGAAGACGCCAAAGTAAGGTCAACGTTTAGGGGCATGGGCATCCTGGGTTTCAGACTTTCGGCTTTGGATTCGAGAATTTTGTGTGTACCTGATTGTTAACAGGTCCTATAGAATCCGTTCATCTTTCCGCAGAGCTTCTTTTCAAGGAGTTTGCATGTGCAAGTATGCCCTCACTTAATTCAGACCCCTTATTCCTGCAGTCTATAGGATTTCTCTGAAACGAAAGTCCCCTTTGTAAGGCCCTTGCGGGTTCCATGAAAGCGTTGACCTTCAACAGCATCGAAACACCCTATGCCAGGTAATGCGTTCGTTGGTTTCTATACTCTAGATCCCACCACTGCCTGTGCGCATGAAAAATAGCGAAACCCGCGGGTCACTATCGAGCGCGTGAGCCAAAACACGCCAGGGTGCCGGATATTGTCCAAGCTTGCCAGGCTTTTGTGTGGTTGGAGGAGCAGGCCACTTGTGCTGCCGCACCATTCGGGTGAAAACCAACCTGGGACCCCACCTTGCAACTTCAGGTCAGAGATGCAAATTCTGCAAGCAAAGGCACATCCAATGCAGTCAGTAAAACACAGCCGTGGGACGTGCCTTCCAGTTTGTATTTCTGCAAGCACCAAATTTCAGGCTCCCCCGTGGTCCGATCTGCATTGAACACCAGTCCTTCAAGGCGAGTCTTCATCTCCGGAAGCTCTCAAAACTCTCTCTTGCACGAATTTGCGCGACAGTGATTGGCGGCAAGGACCGATTCCCCATCAAGGGAGGCGAGCTTCCGCATAGCTTTCTGGTCTTAGAATCTGATGTCATCTTTGTGACAGGAAGGACCGAGCCATGCGGCACTGAAGCGTCTCCAGGATTGCTACCATTTGGCGAAGGTATATTGCTAGCTGAGTTGGCTCCGCAAAGGCGCTAGAGGCGAGGTTTGACAAGAAGACCTTTCTTCAGGCGAAACACCAAGCTGCATGGATCCTACAGCGAGCATCAACGAGCTGAACTTGTGAACTGGGGCAGGCTGAGTCCCACAACGGCGACCAGCGCGTCGCGCCACGGACTCAAATCGTACAAGCGATTCCACTTTGGTCATCAAACATATCAAACCAGGGGCAAGCACCGCAAGCACTTCTGGCAGGTCAAGCGCAACGGAAGAGACATTGGAGAAGGCTCCTCTTGCTCATTTCACTTGATTCACTTGTTCCCTTCAATGCTGACATTTACTTCCAGCTTCGCGGGCAGCTCGACGGTTTGCGGGCTGAGCTGAAAGCCCCAGGCGATTCAGGCCAGCCAAGGACGAATGACAGGACAAGCCTTGTAGCATGTTATTCTGGTGTTCTGGTCAGGTGGGCAGACGGAGGCCTCCTTGCACCGCTGAGTTATTTTCCTTCCTCTTCAAATCTTCTCATCTGACTCTGGTGAGGTGGCTGGTGCACATATATCTCCCAGGCAGGCAAGCGATGATGCTTCCACAATCTTCCACTCCAAGGGTATCCTGTTGAAAGGCTGATGCGACCTGCAGAGGCAAGACACATTGGCATGTCCTGACATTTTTTGACATGCTCCAGACTTGGCAGGTCCGAGCAGTGTCGCCTGCAAAGCTCCTGCAGGCTGCCAAGAGCTGCACACAGCATGTCACTCTACATTCTCCTCTAGCGCTGATGGCGCTGCCAGGCTGCGCAACCGAAGCTTGGCAGAGGATGTTTGCTTTTTGTTTTGCAAGTCCGGATAAGATTTGAAGCAGACATCTAAGGCCTCGTGTCGTGTACTCGTATCAAACTGTTGCCTCCACGCCTCCCATGCAGGCTGGATGACTGGATGTTGGAGTTTAAATCTATTGCATTGGAAGCTTGTTCCTTACCATGACCCGTAGGAACACATTTCAGGAAAGTGGATTTCTCCTCGTGCGTGAGTGTGGAGCTGCAATGTAGCGCTGTGAAGAGCACCTGCAGGCCAAGAGGGTGGCGACAGATGGTCTCCACCCCAGCGAACACGGAACAGATATGAACACGTCCTAGAGAAAAGCACCCTGCCTGAGGCCAAGAGTTCAGCGAGGGCGATGATCGGTGTGGTGCTGAGATTGGTTGAGATTGGGGTCAGCTGACTCAGTCTGGTGGTGCAATCCCCGAGGCAACCAAGAATCATCTACTCGTATGGAGCTTCTCTGGTGCAGGGCACAGCGGGGCTGCATTTGGACTGCAAAGTTGGTAAAATGATGCACTGCAGACCCGGGGCTCTGTGACACCGACCGCGACGGTAGGGATCTTGGAAAACCCATCATGGTAATGTTGGCATATCACTGATCATGCTGCATCAGCATGACCCATGGAGGTGAGGCCTTCAGGTGCAGGGCGGTGCACGACTACATACATGTACAACGAACTTGGCTTGAAGTCTCCGTTGCAGTGCATCCTTACTGCAAGTTGGGTTGCGTGAGAATCTGCGGTGGGTCGCGGTGGGTGGCAGTGTAGCTTCGCTACGCGTAGGCTGGGAGGAGACATGGACTATCCTGTCTTGGATCCGACTTGACTGAAGATGCTTTCAATCTGAATGGCTGGTTATTGGCCAGGGTTGAGATTGGGAATTATTGGCCTGCAGCATTAATGCCGCAGCCAATGCATTGCGATGGCAATGTTTTCCCGCCCTTTTCATTCCCCCCCTCTGAGCACGTGGCCATTGTGGCCGGCTGTTCTTGTTCCTTTGGAGCGGATTGGCCTTGCCATTTCGGCGGTCTCCGGAGTGCGGGCAATCGCCATTGTGGTGTGCCTCTAATTTCCTCATGCTTGCAGTGCACTTTCATGCAGGTAGGTGAGGTTCAAGATTCTTGCTGATTGTCGCAGCTATGGCTTCCATCAAAGAAGAACTTAAGCTGCTATTGACCCGGAATGGGGTCCATAATGATGTCTGCAATAATTGGTTGGCTGCATCGCCGCAAGACTGCTATGAGATCAAGCATTTTGCAAATATGGTTGATGAATCTACGCAAGTCAATGCGACCATTCTTCAGCACACTAGCCAGAAAGACAATGTCGGACAGCTGGCTCGCTTGAAGCAAGCTTGGAAGGAGGCAAACGGCATAAACCAAACCAGGCTGAAAAGACTCGGCCAAGGGCTTGCCGAAGATCTGCTTGATGAGCCGCTTGATTCTGAAACACGCAAGTCCAAGTACTCCATCTTTCAAGGTTTCTATCAATGGACACTGAAGTCGAGGGACATGGTCTGTGATTCCTTGTTTGGTCGCATTGT